AATTAATTGGCTTTGGAATTAATTGGCTTTGGAATTAATTGGCTTTGCAATTAATATGCAGCCAGGTAAAACATGGCTGCTCCAGTAGTGTCGGAACATGGTGTTTGATACAACCTCTAGATTTTGTGTATAGCTTCAAAATTAGGTCAGTCCTTACTAATGCAGCGTATTTGCACAGCAGTGCACTGTGCAGTTAGGATTACCTTTACAGTCATTGTGTTTGTAGTGCACAAGTGACCATGCTGCATATAACAGGTATTTGTCATGCTACAATAGGAAGGGGCTAGCCCAGAAAAATACTGCTGTTTCCAAGCCAGGTGTATAGCTGCTCGGAGGCATTTGTGAGCAACTCCAAAGTGCAGATGAGATAACTTAGACTGCTGAAAAATCAAAATACAGCTGAGGTGTAATACAGAACAAATCAGAAGGTGGTATGATTCTCTTGAAAATGCTTTCCCCCAGCTCTGTCGTCCTCTCCTCTTCTCCACTCTGCACCAGAAGCACACATCACAATAACCAGATTTTACGAATTGGATGAATATAGGAAAACATAATTTTCCTGGGGGTGAGAACACAGATGTGGGAATTTTATTAACATCTTCAATATCACAAAAAAGTCTGCAATGTTTCTTTTTTGGCAGACGAATATTGCCCCCTGTGTATGGTTTCTCTTCACTGCACATGTTTTAAGGGTGAACGTCATGATTAATTATTAAAAGAGCTGACTAAAAATGATTTTCTGAAGCTACTGCTATAACCCTTTGGGGACAGTCAGGGTGTGGAGCCTGCAGACTGAGTAAGAGCAGGGCAAACAGCCAGAGATTGGCAATTTCTGCATTGAGAGCTATTTGAGGAGTGGGAGAGACCACAGGAAGGAGATAGTCCAGCACCTTCCTGAGCTCTCATGAGCAGAGCTGATTGATTAGAGAGGGAAATGCACATAACAGCATCTTCAAGACTCCCAATCAGCTTCTCACATCTTTTTATCTTTTTATCTTTTATCTTTCTCGTCTTTTATTTAATGTGCTTAAAGCAAGTAATTCTACTAAGAATGTGGTCCCACTGTCCCAATTCCCCAAAAGGTACAAAAGCTGAACTGGGAGAATTCTCCTGTCTCAAATAGGTGGCAAGGAAAAAGAGTGGTTTCAGTGGTAGTGAATCGCCAGAAAAGCAGTACAAGTATTTTCATGTTTCTCCTCCAGGTATTCAAAGTTTTTTGTGTTCAAACCTGTCAGAAAGATGTCTATATTCCTTTCTCTTTTGTGTCTTTCTCCCCCCAAAAAATCCCAAAACACACACAAAAAAAGCCAGAAGCCTACCCTTTCTGTTTCCTTTTTCTCCTAGATGAAAGATATCTTGGAATCCCCAAACACAGGAAAAACAAGTGTGGTCTTAGATCATTTCCATTGCTTGGTTTCCAAGTGGATTTAGTGTTCTTGAGGGGTATTGCAGTATCACCTCTGAGTAGATGTCCAGCAGATCTCTAAGTGAAAGAAAAACTACAAGAAGTGATATGTAATGGCACATTTTCTTATTAGCTCTTTTACTTCTGGATGCCAAACTATTTCATCATGTGATGGAAACTTACTTAGAGTGAAGGAATATAAAATATCATTGTATCTTTGACTTTTCCATTCTTTCAGTAAGTATATGACATGAAGTTCAAGAACACACATTTGTCTGAATTTCTAATAAATGAGAAGTATCAGAGGTTTTACATGTGAGAAAATCATTGTGGTATGATGTGGACCTCAGTAGTAAACAGCAAGAACTTTTCAATTAATTCCATGTCTTCTGAAAGAGAAAATTAAAGTATATGTAGTAATTGTAGCATCTGTGATTTCAAACAGAGGTATTGAGGACTTCTGTGGAGGCTGCCCACTTCATATTACTAACAGATCTACAGGATTGCCTTAAAATTGTCTTAAAATTGTCTTAAAATGACTGATTTAAATTAAATTATAAAGTATGCTAATCAACAGGTAAGTGTTGCCCTTCCTTCTTGTTGAGCTGGTGTGCAGTGCTCAGCTGCCTGAACTGACAGTTGATTTGTCTCTGGCCTGGTTTGATGTAGATAAAGTAGGATTGTTTGCAGATGCCAATAGGCCCGGCAGCTGTTTAACTCAATTCCCTATGCTTTTCTTCCAGGCATGTGTTTCTGTTCTAAACCACTTCACTAATACCCTCATGTTTAGGAAAGGTTTTATAATCCTATTTTCTCAGCAGTTTTGTTTATTTATTTACTTTTCTAGCAGGCACACAGAGTAATAGGAGCTGTTACATCTGAAGTACAGATTGGAACAAATTATTAGAGATCGTTTTTATAACATGTGTCATCGACTCATCCTTTACTGGTCCCATTTTTCCCCCCTAATCATTCTTTCCCATAGCACATTCCATTCTAGTATTTTCTGTGGTTGTCTCAGTATGCTTAAAGGCATGCTAACTTATGTATAATGCCTTCCCATCTAAAATAAGAGGATTAAGAAGTGCCTGGAGGACATGTTCTGAAAAGCTGATTTTGTCTTAGAGAGAGGAACCAACATTCTTCTGATATGATAAGGTTAGTTTCCAGGTGGGGCTTCCCAACAGTGATCATTAGGCTTCTGTTCCTCTGCTTGAATTGAGTTCTCCAGCTTTCTTCTGTGTTTTTTGTCCCAGGTCTTGTTACCTTGACTCATTTACTTTTTAAGAAGTGACAAGAGTCCTGCTCCACTTTGTGCCATTGTCCATTTGCAGAAAGCTCTGGCAGTCGCATTTCTGTTTGTTTTATGGTGAATGAGAGTTTTTGAGTTTCTAGAAGAAGAGGTGGCTGCACAAGGAAGGAAGACAAGTCCAAATGGAAGGATTTAGAGGAAACGGACATTTTAGAGTAATGTTGTATGCTCTTTAAAAATTGATGAGCGACATTATACTGAAGACTTCACTTGGAAGTCTACTCTGTGCCCTAGGAGAGACCACCAGTATTACACTTCTGCTAGAGACAATCATACTTAATGATACATGTCAAGGAACGAAGGGGTGAGTAATGCATGCTAGACAAGACTGAAAAATAAAAGGGGTGCAATGTTGAATGTACTTAACACCAGTGATTTAGAGAAGTGCCTATGTAGAAGTACTGTGCTGAACATTCAGATAGGAACAAATTACCAATGTATTATCATACTCTATTTTCATTAATAAATCTACTGAAGTATTTTATAGGGAATTATAATTGCATGTCAGTAAGTAGTCTAGGAAGGCAGGAGATCTGGAAGGGCTTTGCAAGGAAACAAAATGAATCAGAAGAAACTCTGGAGGAAATATTGTGATTAATGTTTGCCAGCTTATGGCTCAGTAAAAATGACTATTCAGCTCTATTCAGTAAATACAAAGAACCCTTTCTTAACCTGGACGGGATCCTAATTCAGTTCAAGAAACAGCTGAAAGATTGAAGAGATCAGATGCTAAATATCTTATGAAATGAGAAGTTGTATCTTGGTTTTGTCAATTATTTTTATTTGTTTGAATTAACAGGAATTCATGAAGTAACTCAGGACATTGGAGAATATAAAAAAGCTGAAGTGCAAAAATCTCACTGATTTTGATTGCCAAATACAGTTTAATTTCAGGGCACTTTTTAAAAAAAATCTGATTTGGTAAAGTGGAAAAACACTTTACTTCCCCAGAATGATGGAAGAATGAAACGTATTCTTTGCGAAAAAGTGCTTCTGAACACTCCACTGTAAGTTGTCGCAGTAAAAGAGAAAGGAAAATAGCACTATGGGGCTGACAAAATAATTCTTTTAATCAGGAAAGGTGCTTTTGATAAGAAAACAGTTCTATAAAATGACTTTAAAGTGAGTTTGTATGCTGCGTTCACGAATCAGTACTATTACTTGTAGATTGCATTACACACTTAAGAAATAGGACTAGCTTTTTATACAATTTTATTCACTATCAACAAAGTACAAAGGCAGACAAATTATAAAGATTTTTTTTTTCTGTTAACCAGTCTTCTGACATCCAGTTGGCAGTGGGCT